TTGATTTCTACATGTATTTCTAGGCACAACCGGCGCAACCCAATGGCGGTGGCTCTGGGAGCCCTCCCAGCCCTGCCCCGGCACCCCGGATCACCTCCAACCTCTACCTCGGTGACGCGGTAGCTACCAACAGCCACCTCCTCCTCTTCACCCACCACATCGGCACCATCATCAACATCTCCCTGGAGGCGGTGAACACCTCTGTCCCAGCATCGAGTACCTGCACGTCCCTGTGATGGATGACCCCGCCGCCCGCATCTCCAGCTGCTTCAGCTCCATAGCAGCTAAGATCCACAGCGCGGGGACATGCAGGGATGGACGCTGCTGCACTGCGCTGTCAGGGTGAGCAGGTTCCCACCATCTGCTTGGTCTATCTCTTGAAGCACCACTCCATGTCCCTGGCAGGCGCGCATGCGTGGGTCGAGTCCTGCCGTCCCATCGTATGACCCAACAACAGCTTCTGGCAGCAGCTCATCCACTACAAGTACAAAGTCTTCGGCATCAACAGGCTCGGAATGATCAGCTCTCCATCAGGGAGGTACCCAATGTTTATGAAAATGAAGTAAGGGTAATGCTGCTGCTCTAAGTACAAACATGCTGTTGTGATCTCTTGGCAAGAAACCAAGAGAAAGGCAATGGCAGTTCTTCCAGATCCACACCAGAACATTGAAAATAAACTCTTCTCATCTAAGGGGGTTGGAGCATGAAGTCTCTGCCACTGAAAGTTCAGGGGATTAGCGATACAACAGCGGGTAGTGGGGTTTACTATAAATAAAATCAGAACAGTTTAAGCTATGCAGTTAGTTTTCACACATCATTTGTATCAAGGTCCTGACAGTAACTCTGAAACCGTCACGTGTTTAGAGAGTGTTGTTTTATTCCAGCACAAACTGTGCTTATAATACAGGACAGAAACTAGCTGTGAGTCAGGATATTTGGAGTGTTACCAACGTTTGTTTTTCCTAACTGGGATATGACTTTGGGTTTTGAGACAGCAACCCTAAGTCCAGTCTTCTGCTGCATTCCAGAGAGGGCGGGAAGAGCACAGACTCCAGCATCCCTGGTTGGGAGATAACCAAGGATGTCCTGCTTTCCACCATCTGACCCTTTCTCTTCCCCCACCTGATTGCCCCAATCCTTTTTCAGAAGGTGCCTTGGCCTCCCTTGGGAGATCCATGGTTATTTGGGTGAGCTGCTCGGAAAGAACCCCATTTGCTCCTATACGTGCAAAATCTTCTTGGGTGCCGCCTTTGAGCTATTCCCATCCCAGAGGCCTGGGGAGCCAAGGTGGGAGCAATAAGAGGAACGCTGCTGTCAGTTTGAATCATTGGGGCGAGGTCGTCATGTCGTTATAAACTAGAAGCCTGATCTGGACACACTTGGGCATCGCTCAGCAGCAAACCATGTATTAATTCTGGTTTATCACAGCATGAAGTTTTCAGCTCCAGCAACTCTGTCTCGAGTGGCAACAACAGACCTGTTTCAGGTGGGAGTAGGGGGCCCCGGGCTGGCGTGGGTGTGTGAAGGGTCCCACAGCCCCTGGGTCAGCATGAGGGGGTCCCGCAGCCCCAGTTGGTGGGAGGGGTTGTAGCAAGGTGGGTGTTGGTCTCTTTTCCCAAGTAACAAGCGATAGGACGAGACTAAACAGCCTTAAGTTGTGCCAGGAGAGGTTTAGATTTGCTATTAGGAGTAATTTCTTCACCAAAAGGGTTACCAAGCATTGGAACAGGCTGCCCAGGGAAGTGGTGGAGTCACCATCCCTGGAGGTATTTAGCAGACTTGTAGATGTGGCGCTCAGGGACATGGTTTAGTGGTGGCCTTGGCAGTGTTAGGTTAATGGTTGGACTCGATGAACTTAAGGGTCTTTTCCAACCTAAATGACTCTATGATTGTATATCCTACCAATGGCATTTTGGGAGTGCTCCTCTACACCCACAAATTGCAACCTGGCAAACTAGCTCTCTGCAGGTCTCCAAGCAGCTCAAGTGATAGCTGTGGTGGGCGTCAAAGAGCCTTGCCTCCCTTTGAGCATATTGCTTTTCTCCCAAGGCACCTTCTAGAAGCAGAGCAAAGACCCAACTCCTCATGGACACGTCAGAAGTTCCTCTTGGAAAACAGAAACGTTAAAGGGATAGAACGAGCTGGTCGGGTGCATGGGTATCACAGAGAGTATCGGAGTCATGGCAGACCTCTTGGAGGAGCCCTGTGTGCTGTGTGACCACCTGGGGCCTTGGTGCTTCTTGGACTGGATCTCTGACCAGACAAGGGTGCAGTCGGTGACTGTAGAGTCATCCCCACCCCTCTCTACTCCAGCTCTGCAGTCAGACACCA